AAAGTGAATAGTAATTGTAGAATAAAACAAATGGTGATCAAAGTGAATAGTAATTGTAGAATAAAACAAATGGTGATCAAAGTGAATAGTAATTGTAGAATAAAACAAATGGTGAGTAAAGGGAATAGTAATTGTAGATTAAAACAAATGGTGATCAAAGTGAATAGTAATTGTAGAATAAAACAAATGGTGAGTAAAGGGAATAGTAATTGTAGATTAAAACAAATGGTGATCAAAGTGAATAGTAATTGTAGATTAAAACAAATGGTGATCAAAGTGAATAGTAATTGTAGAATAAAACAAATGGTGATCAAAGTGAATAGTAATTGTAGAATAAAACAAATGGTGATCAAAGTGAATAGTAATTGTAGATTAAAACAAATGGTAAACATTCTCTTACATAAACACCTACAGATCCTGGTGCTAAATGACCATTTATAATACCACGTCCATTCATAAACAACAGAAGCATTTCTCTTACATAAACACCTACAGATCCTGGGGCTAAATGACCATTTGTTTTATTCTACAATTACTATTCACTTTGATCACCATTTGTTTTATTCTACAATTACTATTCACTTTGATCACCATTTGTTTTAATCTACAATTACTATTCCCTTTACTCACCATTTGTTTTATTCTACAATTACTATTCCCTTTACTCACCATTTGTTTTATTCTACAATTACTATTCACTTTACTCACCATTTGTTTAATCTATAATTACTATTCACTTTGACTGTTTATGAATGGACGTAGTATTATAAATGGTCATTTAGCCCCAGGATGTGTAGATGTTTACATAAGAGAAATGCTTCTGTTGCTTATAATGGACGTAGTATTATAAATGGTCACTTAGCCCCAGGATCTGTAGGTGTTTATGTAAGAGAATGTTTCTGTTTATGAATGGACGTAGTATTATAAATGGTCATTCAGCCCCAGGATGTGTAGATGTTTATATAAGAGAAATGCTTCTGTTGTTATGAATGGACGTAGTATTATAAGTGGTCATTTAGCCTCAGGATGTGTAGATGTTTATGTTAGAGAAATGCTTCCGTTGTTTATGAATGGACGTAGTATTATAAATGATCATTCAGCCCCAGGATGTGTAGATGTTTATATAAGAGAAATGCTTCTGTTGTTATGAATGGACGTAGTATTATAAGTGGTCATTTAGCCCCAGGATGTGTAGATGTTTATATAAGAGAAATGCTGGAAACTTTTTTGTGGTACAATTTATATATGGTGAATTCTGTTGAATTTTTTACAAATTATTTTTCTAAAGGTCTTTCAATTATTGAGTTCTCTCACTTTGCTGTTTTTTATTCTATTTATTATTCTGAGTATGAACATTAATATTATTTGTACGCACACATCTGAGTATGAACATTAATATTATTTGTATGCACACATCTAAGTATGAACATTAATATTATTTGTGTGCACACATCTGAGTATGAACATTAATATTATTTGTGTGCACACATCTGAGTATGAACATTAATATTATTTGTGTGCACACATCTGAGTATGAACATTAATATT